GCTCCTTCATCCCGCTGCCCCTTCCCCGCGCCCGCCCAGGCTCCGCGTCCCCGCAGGCCCCGCTTCCCGCGGCGCCTCCGTGTCGTTGTTTGAACCCGAAACGGAAATGGGATCGCGGAGCCGCCGGGGGAGAAACGGAAACAAAACACGGGCCGGGCCGCGCTCACCCGCCGCCGCCACCGTCCGTCCACCCTCCCGCCCGCCGCGCCGACGCGTCCCGCCGGCTGTCCTTGTCCGGCAGCTCCCGCGGCTCGGGCTCCGGGGCGGCTCCAGGAGCGGCTCCGGGAGCGGCTCCCGCCGGGATCGGAGCGGCGCGCGGGCCCAGCGCGGGGAAGGCGCGCGACTCCGCCGCGCCCCCGCGGGAACTACAGCTCCCGGCGGCCCCCGCGCGGGGACTACCGCTCCCGGCGGCCCCTGCGGCTCCGGAGGGCTCCGGGCGCTTCCCCTGTCCTGGGAGCGGCCCCGTGCGGGCGCGGTGAGTGCCGGGCTCTGTCCGGGCCGCCCCTCCACGCTCCCGGGGGGCGCCGAGCGGGGCCGTGCAGTGTCGGGGGGGTAGGTGGGGGAGCGCCGCTGGGGGCGCGCGGAGGGGGCGGGTCCCGGCGTGCAGCGCGCGGGGGCGGGGCCGGGCTGGGGCAGCGGCGGCGGCGGTGGCGGCTCGGACAAGGTGACTCCGGGGGTGTCTGGGTTGGGTTAAAATTGTAGCTTTTTTTGGCTTAAATGAGGTGAAATCTGAAGTTCTTGGTTCCTCCGGCTGGCTCGGTCGCGGTGCGGCACCGAGCGGGCCGCGGGGCAGCGCCCGCCGTGTCACGGTGCCCTCGGGTTCGGTTTCTACTCCAGCCTCCATGTTGCTTTAAGTACCCTTTAAAATATCCTTTAGGTACCTTGAAATACTTACAAATGCCTTTCTGGCTTAAAGCTGAGGCCGAATCTATTTTTTTGTTTGTTTGTTTCGTTATGCATTTACATGATGGTAACTCAATTCTGTATTTTGTTGGGTTTTTTAAAGCCTAAAGTACTAGTGTCATCGTGATCCTGCGGCTTTCCTCCCTTTCAGCATCCTTAAATCCCACTCAAATACCTTTAGACACCTTTCTGTTTTAAAGTTCAGCTCCAAACTACTTTTTTTTTTTTTTTTTTTTTTTTTTTTTTTTTTTTTTTTTTTTTTTTTTTT